CCTGTACAGGTAAATGTCAAACTACAGCTGTACAGGTAAATGTCAAACTAAACCTGTACAGGTTATTGTCAAACTAAACCTGGAGAGGCAACTGTCAAACAAGGGGAGAAATATACACCTATTGTAGGTAAACATGTAATGGGAAAAGAGATTCTACAGGTATGTGACATGGGAAAAATCATCTGTACCAAAGAGAGACAGGAAAAGATATAAGTTACATGGATATAATAACTAAGAAGCATGTGAACATTTAATAAAGTGTCTGTTTAATTTCCACTAATTATATTGGGTAACCTTAAGTTTGTTTTGCACAGTGAACTTTAATCAATTGCTGTCTGTGTGAAGACCTTTTGAACCCTCTCAGCTGCTGTATCAGTTGACCTTGTAACCCTTAAAACACTGTTAATGCCTTGTCATGAATATTGCTGTCAGATTTAATTAACATTCCTGAAAACTGGCCAACACGCTCCCTTTGATTACATCACTGGGTTTAATATGGTGTAATTACAGGAGGGATCAGGCTGGGTTATTCCTCCTCACAGACAAATCTTTTGTTTTTATGGTGTGATTACGTGTGACTGACATTTAACATGGGGTCCAGATCAACTAGGGGTCCAGAACTGGACAAATTAAGATTGAATGAACTATTGGGGTTAACAATCTGGAACTAAGGTCTCGTGCTAACATTCAGTACCCCAGGGCTGTAGTAGGACACAGGGGTAGGGGGTTAACTATCTGGGACTAAGGTCTCGTGCTAACATTCATTACCCCAGGGCTGTAGTAGGACACAGGGGTAGTGGGTTTACTATCTGGGTCTAAGGTCTCATGTGAGAATTCAGTACCCCAGGGCTGTAGTAGGACACAGGGGTAGGGGGTTAACTATCTGGGACTAAGGTCTCGTGCTAACATTCATTACCCCAGGGCTGTAGTAGGACACAGGGGTAGTGGGTTTACTATCTGGGACTAAGGTCTCATGCGAGAATTCAGTACCCCAGGGCTGTAGTAGGACACAGGGGTAGGGGGTTAACTATCTGGGACTAAGGTCTCATGCTAACATTCAGTACCCCAGGGCTGTAGTAGGACACAGGGGTAGGGGGTTAACTATATGGGACTAAGGTCTCATGCGAGAATTCAGTACCCCAGGGCTGTAGTAGGACACAGGGGTAGGGGGTTAACTATCTGGGACTAAGGTCTCATGCTAACATTCAGTACCCCAGGGCTGTAGTAGGACACAGGGGTAGGGGGTTAACTATATGGGACTAAGGTCTTGTGCTAACATTCAGTACCCCAGGGCTGTAGTAGGACACAGGGGTAGGGGGTTACTGCTGCACTCTTGAAAACATTAATGTATAGGTCTCAAGATAGGGAAATTAAATCTGACCATTCACCTCGAGTACAGAATTTTCATTATTGTTTGGTCTAGTCTTAAGTTTGAAAGTTTACTCCATTCACCTCGATGGGAGCAGAATCATTATTGTTTGGTAGTAAGTTTGGCTAACCATTCACCTGGGAGCAGAATTTTCATTATTGTTTGGTCTAGTCTGTAAGTTTGAAAGTTCTCCATTCACCCAGGGGCAGAATTGTTTGGTCAGTTGTAAGTTTGAAAGTTTACTCCATTCACCTCGAGGGAGTGGAATTTTCATTATTGTTTGGTCAGTCTGTAAGTTTGAAAGTTTACTCCATTCTCCTCGATAGCAGAATTTTCATTATTGTTTGGTCACTTAAGTTTGAACAATTCACCTGATACAAATTTTCATTATTGTTTGGTCTAGTCTGTAAGTTTGAAAGTTTACTCCATTCACTACTGCTTCACTATTGTTGTTAAACTGTAAGTTTGAAAGTTTACTCTTCACCTGATGACCCTTTTCAGATACTGCTGCACTCTTGAAAACATTAATGATATAGGTCCATCAAGATAGGGAAATTAAATCGACCATTCACCTCGATGGGAGCAGAATTTTCATTATTGTTTGGTCTAGTCTGTAAGTTTGAAAGTTTACTCCATTCACCTCGATGGGAGCAGAATTTATCTTATTGTATCATCTAGTCTCTAAGTTTGAAAATTTACTCAATTAAATAGAATCAAAGTGAAACTTCAAAACAACAATTAAAATAAAACTAGCATGCATTATGGCGAGGATAGTTACATGAAGATTAGGAGAGCAGGCTGTAGAGGTATATAATGGTGTGTGGGCTTGTGGTGATCAGATAATATACGTGTCAGACCTCCCAATGACAGACATCTCATCATTGAACTGAGTACTGGCACACTAATGATGTACAGAAAATATCAGAAAATATTCCTGTGATTTTGGTTGATTTAGTTAATGTGGCTAGTGTTTTAGCCATTATCAGACGAAATCGGGGACAGGATTGAGAAATCGCCTGCTTCGTCGCAATTATTGTCCGTACTGAGCTGGTCATTTATTACTTTTATTTCACCAACAAGTTTTCATAGTTCTGGTGCGTGGCTTGGTAGAATGTTTCTCTAATTAGCTTCCATTCTTGATTTCGTTCGTTAGGATTGCGTGGAATTTAAGAAATGTTGATATAATGAAACCGTAAGTGTTTATGTAATTGAATGCAAGTGTGTTCATGTAAGTAAATATTGCATACATGAAACTTACAAATTTTCATGTGACTATTAAAAATCGTTACTGTAACTTGACAGAATATTGCAGATACATGTATAGCTTAACTAAGAATTATTGTAATAATAAAAGTAAGAATGCTTTTGTTAGAAATCATAATTTTTTAATAGCAAACATAAGACTGCCTTTATTAACAAACATCAGAATGTTTTTATTAGCAAACATAAGAATATTTCTTAAACCAAATATAAACATTTTTCTACAACCAAATTTAAGTGTTTCTATTGATAAAACGTATTTGTTAAATTTAAAGTGATAAGATATTGCCAAACATTGGTCCAAGTATATTGTGATGTTACATGTAGCTGTTGAACTTCTCAATATCACGGTGTAAAAATTACTTCCTGGAATACACAACATGAGAAGAAAACACAACAGAAAAGACAAATAAAGTCTATTTATTGTTTTCATTGATTCAGAATTTGGGAAGAAAATTCTGTTAATTTGAGTCTTTGCCTATCAATATCTGATGTTGTGGAGTCTGATTGGTTTGTTATTGTGAGACAGTGAGACTGATTGGCTGGGTTATCGTGGGATCTGATTGGATACGAGAAAGTGTTGATGGATGTAGAATAATAACAGAGAGAGAAGTTAATCAGTTTATAGATAAAACAAGTTGCAGATATGTAATTCACCACAGGAATATCACCCATCAAAGACTGTTTATATAATATCATTTAAGGGCTGTATATACAGTTATCTCCCCTGGGACCTGGGGAGGGAGTGTGGGCTACAGCTCAGAAGATGGAGTCTGTTGCAACCTCTCCCCTGGGAAGATTGTTTGTAAACTTGTAAGCTGTGGAGTCTTTGTAGCTCCTCTCTGGGAATATCACACCCACCAATGGCTTTTAGGCAAAATTCTTCGCCAATTTCACACCCACAAAAATGTGTATCTGAGAAGTTCAAACCTCTAGGGGGTCACTGTTCATTTTCTTACTTCCTTCATATCCCTAGAATACCTGGTACCCAAGGGAGCTGTTAATTTAGAGAAAAATAATGATGTAGACCCCCCATAACTCCCTCACAGTTATCATTCTCACAAGTACAAGCCTATCTAGTGCCAGATCAAATGGTGCCAGGGTAAGTGGATAGCCCTGTCTCCCACCTGATAGGGTGTTAGAGCTATTGTAAAAATACCAGCTAGATTTACTTACAACATGGTAATTAACTGGAGTTAGCCCCCCCACCGTCATCCCTCATTTGATGTGTATAAGTGACAAATTTTGAACTAATCCTGTCCCTTTCAAAATAATTATTTTACAGAAGGAAGTTTTTAGAGCTGAATTTATGGACAGGAAGCAGATGAAACCTTAGAATAGATGTATTTTAGAGATGTCCTTTCTAGGACATGAAACCCTTTTGCTTGCTAGCTCTTAACTGATATGAGGGTTACCGCATGTACCATCTACATTAAACATCAAGGCACACACATGCAGATTTGTGAAATCTCATCTCTATCTTCCTGTTTCTTTTGGTTTTGTTTGAATAAATTTATATATAATTATGTAAAACTATGGGTTGGAACTTTTTATATTAAAAATTTGTGTTTTTGGGTGTACCATTTACACAATACAATGTTAACATTATAAAGTAAACTTTTCGCGATGTAGTCAGTTACTTAATTTCAGCAAGAAGTCGTTACTAAAATCACTATAACAACCTATTGGTCTCTTTGTTCTTTAACACACTGGGGATTTCATGAATATCATTTGATACTGGACTTATTTTCACTCCTGATGCAGGGACACTATATACATAATGAAGTGTAGTATTGTTAGCTTGTAGTGAACACCGTGGTGGTGTCAATTACAGGCTCTGTGTAGATAGCATTTTAACAATATTAGCGAAGAAACATGTATACATTTAATTTTTTTTCTAACAATAGTAAACAAAAAAATATCGATGTTGATGCATACTGTGCCTATATTGAATCTGATGAAGTGAGGTCAACCGTGTTTGATCTTCACAGATTAATTAATTAGCTGTATAACATGATAGATAAATGAATGAACTGTATAATGTCACAGATAAATCAATTAATTGTATAACTTCTCTGATTTATTAATTGTATAATTTCACTGATAGATAAATTAATTGTATAATTTCACTGATAGATAAATTAATTGTATAATTTCACTGATAGATAAATTAATTGTATAATTTCACTGATAGATAAATTAATTGTATAATTTCGCTGATAGATAAATTAATTGTATAATTTCGCTGATAAATTATTTAGCGGTATAACTTCAGTTTATAGACTAAAATGTATACATAGCAGAATTAAGGTAATGTAGATACTTAACATGAGAATTATTATTACAATGGTTTTCCTCTTGTTTGTTGCAGGCTACCACACTCTACTGTCTAGTGTTAGAATGTGCTTCCGGTGGGAATTTACTAGCATATATAAAAACATTTAAGGATTTTCTTCTTCCGGAGGATCGTGCTCGTCCTTACCTTCGTCAGTTGGTGTCTGCTGTCCATTACCTACATGAGAAAGGCGTGGCCCACAGGTAAGTCCGCATGTTCTACTTTCCCAGCAACAGTACAGAACTGTACAGACTCTGATTTAGAAGGGAGGTAATTCTTATAAAAATGAATTACTGCCGTTGTATGATGTTCGTCCGCTGGAAGACTGAAAGGTTGTAATATTGTCGTAAAACCCGTTAAAATAAAAAAATAAATTGTATGATATACTGTTTGATATATATTCTGAAAATTGTTAAGAAAATATCAGCATGCATCTGTCATCAAATTCCGTCAGTTCATGTGGCTTTTAATTTTGTGGTTGCAATTCAAGTAATTAAGAATCTGTGAGATAATTAAGGATTTGTGAAACAATTAAGGATCAGTAAGATATTTAAGGATCTGTGTAATAATTTCTAAGCTGACGGATTTTCATTGCAGTTTACACATCACAACTACATGAACTGATCAGATCAGTGAATGTAACTTTTAATATTAAATTATTGATTAATAACAATTGGAATTTAATGGTCAAGGTTTTACAGCGAGAAAAGTTCAGATTGTCTTGCAATGGTTTTAACATGAGATAAATGTAAGTGTGTAATGTGGGTGCACAACTCTCAGGAATGTAAGTGTGTAAATATACAGGTGTTTTATTGTGTAATGTGGGTGTACAACAAGCAGGAATGAAAATGTGTAAATATACAGGTGTTTTTGTACAACTCTCAGGAATGTAGATATCTTAATATAGGAGTGTTTTATTGTGAAAAAAAAATTTTCTAAACAGAGGGCAAACGACAATTTTTGAGGATTGATCCCAATGGAAACATCTAGCATTGGATCGGGGTATTTTTGTAAAGATCACTTATTTTTTCTTAAATTTAAAAGTACCTTGCAGCCTCAAAATCTCAGTACAGTTGAACATGACAGGTCCACTTCTGTGGGAACCTGTGCACGATCTTATCAACAGAAGGTACATAAGCAGGAAACACTTACAGTTAAGATATCTACAATTCAGATATTTTGACGTACTCATGCAAGCGAAATATGTATCAACTTTATTTCTAACAGAACGGACAATTTTCTGATTATGTACATATGTGTTTCCCATGGCTGCAGATTCTCATCAGGATGGGTAAACATGGGAGTAGTTCCCTGAAACTGAATCCTGTATATAGGATACAGCACAGACAGATTAAACATGGCTTGTTAACGAGATGACATGATATAGACGACTGCCAAAGCATGTTTAATTCATTATGTTTTAACCGCGGCAGTTACCATTTATCAGGCATTGTGAAGCTGTCAAGCTGATGCTGGTCTCTCTGCAATCACTGATTCTCGCTCAATGATGGGGTCAACAAAACACAAAGTCATGCGGGCAATCAGGTGTGAAGATAATGCGTGGTCATTACTGCTGACACACGTATAAGGATTGGGCAGGTGATTGGGGACATGTCAGATATATACAGGTATTGTGATGGACAGGTTGATTGTACCAAGCAGGTGGGTCATAGATCTCTAGGGCTGGTGGACAGCGGTGAACTAAATATTGTAATTAATTAGGCTTTGTAATCAGGTCCAATTAGGCCTAATCACAGAGCCCCTGGGAAACACACTGGCCCCTGATAGCTTTATTACTGCCCCCTGGTGGTGATATCCAATGCCAATCATTAGTGGTAATGGCAGCTATTGAAACTTTTACATGATCTTCATTATACAAAACAGGGTGTTGGCCACTGTAACCAGAAAGTGTAGAATTCGTCTACGTAGATAAAGGATGTTAATGGATCACGACAATTATCAAAGTTAAAGTCGTAATCATCTGCCACACGACCTTTAGACAAATGGTGGCTACAATGAGAGGCAGACATTTAGCAATGTTATGAAATAGGAGAATGGAAAGAAGATAAGGTGAATCCTGCCAGAGAGACTAAAATAAATAAAAATTTTGCAATTTTGCTAAAACCAAGAGAGAGAAAATTAAATAGAGGTATAGTTGGTTAAACCAGGGGAGGAAAATTGAAATAGAAGGAAAGTTAGCTAAACAAGGGAAGGAAAATTGAAATAGAAGGAAAGTTAGCTAAACAAGGGTAGGAAAATTGAAATAGATGGAAAGTTAGCTAAACAAGGGTAGGAAAATTGAAATAGAAGGAAAGTTAGCTAAACAAGGGTAGGAAAATTGAAATAGATGGAAAGTTAGCTAAACAAGGGTAGGAAAATTGAAATAGAAGGAAAGTTAGCTAAACAAGGGTAGGAAAATTGAAATAGAAGGAAAGTTAGCTAAACAAGGGTAGGAAAATTGAAATAGATGGAAAGTTAGCTAAACAAGGGTAGGGAAATTGAAATAGAAGGAAAGTTAGCTAAACAAGGGTAGGAAAATTGAAATAGATGGAAAGTTAGCTAAACAAGGGTAGGAAAATTGAAATAGAAGGAAAGTTGGCTAAACCAGGAGCATTAAAGTTAGATATAAGGAAAGTTGGTGAAACCAGGGGATGGAAAGTGAAACAGGGAAAATTGGCTGAATCATGAATGATGAAAACCAGGAAAACTACTGGAACAGTTTGTGATTCTTCTGTATAACTTACCAGTAAAAGTTTACATGAAATATTAGTAGTGATTAAAATGTGGGAGAAATTAGTTGGAGGGAAGGGAGATAATTCTAGGTTATGTGTCTGCGATTTCCTGGTAATAGATACAGAGTGTAAATGACAATGCGATACTTATGAGTTGACGAAGAGTGTAGTTTTATATACAATCTACTGTGCCACACATTTCTACGATAGTGACACATTTTATGTACATTGCTGGCTGTTATGGGAGGTTCGGAGATGATTCTGCAGTTCCATGATGGACAAAAAATGTCTCAATCCTTCTAAAACATCCAAATAGATTTTTCTGATGTGGCACTAAAACCAAGGAGATATAGAAATGGTATTACATCCGGTGAACTTTCAGACATATTTCCATGGCAGTAATGTTGTCCGTGGAGGTTATAATGATAGATATATATACAGCCCAGGTGACAGGTTGTGTTACTCGACTGTTGATAACTGTAGTACTTAGTCAATAGGGGACCTACACACCCCCTGTTGACCCAGGGATCAGGAGATTTCAGATCAACACTTCCTTTAAACTGCTCAGTATACAAAACATTTTTTTCCCACAAAAAATTGGGTTTTTTTTTTAATAATTTTCCTATTTATTTTTTTTATTTGCAGCCTATTTGATAAAAGAATTTTGACAAAATCTTTAATGATTTGGTGATGATATATAGAAGGGACAATTGCTTATTAAATCAAGCTATGCTTTAGTCAATAAACAGATGACCATACCTGTAACCTATTGCAGTAGGTAGGTAGGTATCAGTCCGGAAGTCACAAGGTCCAACGTTGAAATGTGACCCTATTAAGGATCCTTCCCTGGTCACTTACTGATCATTACTGTGGGAGTGGACAGCAGTGAGATAAAGTTCTGATAGTATAAGACGGATGGTCAATTGTCCTGTTATGAAGCTATCTTGTCAATGAAGCTATAAATCACTTTTATCATTAACTTACCTAAGAAACATTTTATGTCAAATTAACTACAGGTAATTTGGTTCATCATTGTGAAATTAATTACTTATTAATTACTTATCAAATACATAGTGTAAGGTATATAGGGATTATTGAGTGTCAGCTTACAACGGCTAACGAGGCACACCTCTGTAGGTCTACTTTAGTTCTAGGTGTAACAGGTGAGAACAGACTAACGAGGCACAACTTTTATTTTTTTTTTTGGGCATTGGGGAGGGGGGGGGGGGTCTGGTTTAGTTTTACCTGTTACAGGTAAGAACAGACAAACAAGGCACACCTTTGGGGGTCTTATTTAGTTAGACACACCATTGAGGGTCTAATTTAGTTTTCCCTTTTACAAGTAAGAACAGACTAACAAGGCACACCTTTGGGGGTCTTATTTAGTTAGACACACCTTTGGGGGTCTAATTTAGTTTTCCCTTTTACAAGTAAGAACAGACTAACAAGACACACCTTTGGAGGTCTGATTTAGTTTTACCTGTTACAGGTAAGAACAGACTAACAAGACACACCTTTGGGGGTCTTATTTAGTTAAACCTGTTAAGGTAGAACAGACTAACGAGGCACACCTTTGGGGGTCTAATTTAGTTTTACCTGTTAAGGTAAGAACAGACTAACAAGACACACCTTTGGGGGTCTAATTTAGTTTTCCCTTTTACAAGTAAGAACAGACTAACAAGACACACCTTTGGGGGTCTGATTTAGTTTTACCTGTTACAGGTAAGAGTATAAATGTTTCCGTATCACCTGTTTAAGTCAGCAGCAGGAAAGGTCATTAAGTAATAAAGCAAGATGGAGCCTATGTACTAATGTATAACCATAAAGTTGTCAGCCATGTTAATAGGTCAAAGGTTAATGACTGTCAGATTGAGGCTCTGTTGCTGAATACTTAGAGTGTCTCCACATAATCTGTCATAATCACACAATTCTGTAATGTAATGGAAATACAAAACATCTGTTTTAGTCCTGAAGTCGTGTATATATTATACAAATCTTTGGAGTGATATGTGATTAAAGTGTTACTTGATTGAAAGATATAACAAACTAACCCTTGATCTTACCTGGTAGCTAGCCTCATCCAGGCCTTTTAGCCAGCCCTTGAGCTGGCCCTCTAGGTAGCCCTCAACCTGACCCTGTAGGTTGCCCACCTGCTGACCCTGTAGCTAGCCCCTTACCTGACCCTGTAGGTTGCCCACCAGCTGGGCCTCTAGGTAGCCCTCCACCTGACCCTGTAGGTTGCTCACCTGCTGACCCTGTAGCTAGTCCTCAACCTGACCCTGTAGGTTGCCCACCAGCTAACCCTGTATCTAGCCCTCCACTTGACCCCGTAGGTTGCCCACCAGCTAACCCTGTATCTAGTCCTCCAGCAGACCCAGTAGCTAGCTCCCCTCCCCCACCCCCTGAAGCAGTGCGAGCCCCTTCTGGTCATGGAGATGGTGTACGTTGTATTCTCTGAACCTGCCAAAGGC